GGATGGGTGCTGGCAGAGGCACAAACTCAGGACAGGGACAGGGATGGGTGCTGGGGAAAGGCACAAATTTGGGATGGGGACAGGGATGGGTGCTGACAGAGGCACAAACTCAGGACAGGGACAGGGATGGGTGCTGGGAAAAGGCACAAATTTGGGATGGGGACAGGGATGGGTGCTGACAGAGGCACAAACTCCCCACTGCAGCCCCTGGCGCTCCCTGCGAGCCAAGGAGGTGGCAGCAGCCCCTGCAGCCCCAGCACAGGGCAGTGCCACCCAGAAACACAACACCCAGAACCTGTCTGCAGCTCTTGGTGCCGGTAAAAGCCTTTAGTGCTCTGCTATGGGTTCAAAAAAGCAGCTCAGGGTTGTCCCTTTAACAAAAATCAAGCTTTATTCGTTCTCCTGGTTAATAAAAATTCATCTGGGCCAGGCTCCTGTGCTGCCCAAGGAGGCCTTTTAATAAATCCCTGCTTTATTCTTGAACCCTGCTCAGGATCAGCCTTCCCAAGGCATCCACAGCACCCCGGGCGTGCCCTGCTGCCTCCCCAGGCCGGGCAGGAGGGAGCCCTACCTGACTGGCTGAGGAAGAAGCAGACATCGTCCCTGAACACGGGCGTGTTCCTGTCCAGGAAATCGCTGGCCAGCTCCACCATGACGGGCAGCTCAGTCAGCTCCTCCAGCACCTGGCGGGTCTGGCACGGGGAGGGCAGGAAGAACATTACCTCATGTTTATAAACCCAAAGTGCTTGCACAAAGGAAGCTTTCTAGCTGCCACACACGCTGGAAAATGTTACCGTTAAAACCCCGTGTGGCAATTAGTGCTGGATTACACTTTAATTACTCACATTGCCCATGCTCAAGTCACCACCAACCCCTGTGAGAAGCAACCTTGCCTCGGCACCACCACCATTCGTTTTCCTGGTTCATAAAAATTCACTTGGGCAGGGAGGTGTGGGGGGAAAGCACACTGGCCTGTGAGGCCAACTCCTCCCTCAAATGGAGATTTCTCTAAGTAAATCTCACTTGTTATATAACCCTCCACATAAATTATGTCACGCTGGGTGTCCTGTGTGTGTCCCAGCCTGAAGAACTCGAACTCCCACCTACATCCGGGCTCCCCTGGCAGCCCCTGCCTTGCTGCAGCCTTGGCATTCTGCTCCTGCAGCATCCCTCCCCTGCCATCTCCGTTTCTAACAGAGCAGCTTTTGCTTTCCAAAGCCTTCCACAGCCATGGAAGTCACAGGAACCACCTCCCCAAGTTCAGCTTCATCAGCTTTTATTTCCTCCTGCTGCTGCTGTGAACTGAGCCTGGTGTTTGCAGCTTTCACAAGGGCCCTCCTTCTTTCACCTGTGTGCCCTTGCTTACTCCTAACCTGATTAAGGTCAAGAATCAATCCCCAACCTGAAATCAATCCTTAATCTGCTTGGCACACTCCACACACCCTCCAGGGAGACCTCAGAGCCTCCTCCAGGCCTGAAGGGGCTCCAAGAGAGCTGGAGAGGGACGTGGGCCAAGGGATGGAGTGGCAGGACAAAGGGCCATGGCTTTAAACTGAGTAAGGGTAGACTTAGATGAGATTTTTAGTACAAAACTCTTCCCTGAGAGGGTGGGCAGGCCCTGGCACAGGGTGCCCAGAGCGGCTGGGGCTGCCCCTGGACCCCTGGCAGTGCCCAAAGGCAGGCTGGATGGGGCTTGGAGCAGCCTGGGACAGTGGAAGGTGTCCCTGCCATGGCAGGGGTGGCACTGGGTGGGCTCTGAGGACCCTGCAGCCCACCCCAGTCCCTGATTCTGGCCCCGGGCCCAGCACTCACTGCCACTCCTGCGTGGTAGCTCGTGCCACAGGCGATGAGGATCAAACGCCGACACCTCTGGATCTCCTTGATGTGATCCTTCAGCCCGCCCAGGTTCACTGTGGGCAGGACCAGAGAGCCAAATCAGGGAGGAGGAGTTCACAAAATCACAGCGTGCCACCACCTCCATCATCCACCGTGCAAAAACCCTCACAAGCCTGCTGGGAGCTCGCCAGCAGCACGGGCAGCTCTGGAGGCACTCTGACCCACCCTGCATCTCCCCAGCAAGGTTCCATCACCCCCTCCCTCCCTGCAGCCACCCTGCTGCACACTCAGGGAGGGAGGCTCAAGCTCAATTACCAGTGTAGTCATCAAAGTTGACCCTTCCTCTCATGGTATTAACAACAGATTCTGGCTGTTCAAATATTTCCTTCTGCATGAATGAGCTGAAGTTACCTAGGAAGAAAGATAGAAAACAAATTAGAACACTTTACCTCCTAAAACTTAAATTTTCAATTGCCTCCTGCTAATTGCCATTTTTCCTCTGTATGTAGGGAAAAGCTTGGACCAGCCAAAGATTATTATACTGGTCCTTCTTTTTCTGCCAAAACAGCAGCTCATGGTGAGAGCTTGATTGGAACTTCAGTGAAGGGCAGATCCAGACTGTGAGGGATCAGTCTTGGTTTCAAACCATATGGCTCCAAGCAAATGCAAGATCCTCAGCCCCACAACTCTCCTCAAAAGGTATCAATGACTAGAGGGAAGTGCCATGGCAGGTAAGGACGTTCTTCCCCATGAGGATGACCCAGCACCAGACCAGGCTGTGGCACCTCTGTGCCCAGAGATGCTCCAGAGTGGAGCAGAGCTGTCCCCAGCTGGGGCAGGGGTGGCAGCAGGTGACTGCAGGTGCCAGGCAGGCAGCGTGGGAGCCCAGCACATCCCCCTGGCTGGCTCCAGACCCTGGCAGGGGGCTCAGAGACCCTGGCAAGAAGTCAAAAAACATCTGTGGCTTCAATTATAGCTGGTAGAAAACTGCCAACTCTGGATGAGGAATTACAAGTCACAAGGGTTTGAGTAGTGTGATATTTGAACTAACACAGGGTGGAAAAGTAGAATTTTGGGTTTTTTAGAATGTAATTCAGGGGTACAAGATGGAGGAATCTGAGTGTGCCTTAGCCTTCTTTCCTTTCTTCTTGCCCTCCGTGTCTTGCTGTGATAGTGACACTTTTCTGTTGGTTTAAGGTAGGGACACACTGTCCAACATAAATGTTAGGTATTGGTAATAAACAGTATATGTAACTTTTGATATAAAAGGTAAACACCGCCCGAGAGGGCAGCAGAAGGTTATGGCCTCCTCGGTAGCCAGAGCTTGGCAGGTCAGAGAGAAAATATTACAGGTAAGAAGAGCGAAAATGTTACCAATAATAAGAAATAAACAACCTGGAGAAAGCACAACGGGAAGCATTCCAAGTCCCCTCATTTGGCTGCGCCCAGGCCAGGGAAGCAGAGACCCATTTTGGATCTCTCCTGGGGTCACCCTGGCCCCCGGGAAGCAGCAGACAGAGAAAGGCAGGGGCGGCGGCTCTCACCCTTCATGATCTGCTGCAGCTCCATCTGCAGGGTCTGCACGGCCCGGCCCGGGTGGTCGCCGGCCGTGCGCTTGACGCGGTGGATGGACAGACGGCCGTCCACCACGGCCGCCACGTCGTCGTCCTCCAGGAAGATGACGCGGTTGGTGTGCTCGATGACGGCGCTGCGGGGACAGGGCACGGCGCTGAGCCG